TATTACTTTATGTCTGCTTCTGTCTCCTTTCTCTCTGTCTCTGTCTCTGTCTGTCTCCTTTGTCTCTCCTCCTGTCTCCGTTGTCTCTGTCTCTTCTTGTCGCTTTTGCCTCTCTCTCCTCTCTTCTTTATCTTCTTTCTGTTTCTGTCTCTCGCATCTCTGTCTCTGTCTCCTTTCTCTCTGTCTCCTCTTCTTTATTTATCTTCTGTCTCTCTGTCTCTCTGTCTCTCTGTCTCTGTCTCCTTCCTGTCTCTGTCCCCTCTCCTCCTTTATCTTCTGTCTCTCTGTCTCTGTCTCCTTTCTCTAACTGTCTCCCTTTCTTCTGTCTCTCTGTCTCTGTCTCCTTTCTCTATCTGTCTCCTTTTGTACTGTCTCTCTGCCTCTGTCTCCTTTGTATAGCTGTCTCCTTTTCTTCTGCCTCTCTGTCTCTGTCTCCTTTCTCTGTCTGTGTCTCTGTCTCTGTCTCCTTTGTATAACTGTCTCCTTTTCTAGTGTCTCTGTTTTTTATTATTTGCAGGCGAGCGCTTTCTCTATTTTAATTCCGCATTATTACTCTATGATGATGGTTGGCCTCCTCCCTACAAAACAATCTCTTCGGTAATCAGCTACCTCCCTATACACCTCAATTAGACCTCCCTATACACCTCAATTAGACCTCCCTATACACCTCAATTAGACCTCCCTATACACCTCAATTAAACCTCCCTATACACCTCAATTAAACCTCCCTATACACCCCAATTAAACCTCCCTATACACCCCAATTAGACCTCCCTATACACCCCAATTAGACCTCCCTATACACCCCAGTTAAACCTCCCTATACACCTCAATTAAACCTCCCTATACACCCGAGAGCTCCGTGTACCGCTGGGGAAGGTGGGAAGGTAATTAGTGTATTTAAATATATTCTAATCAATACATTAAGGGGTTATATAACAATGAAGAGCATTTGCTTGTCTGCAAGCAGCAGGAGAAAAGGAGACAGAGGATTGCTGCTTTGCTGCTGTAAGGAGACAGTTTGTGCTGCTCTCTTCGCTTGTCTCCGCAGGGAGTGCGACTGGAGGAAAGGTTTGATGGTGTCTCTTCTAGATATCATCAATCAGCTGCTAAAGAAAGGCAAGCAAACACATCACTGCAGCAGCAGCTGCTGCTGCAGTAAGTGCAGCAGCAGCAGCAGCAGCAACAACAACAGCTGCAGCAAGTGGAAGCAGTCTCCTTTTTCTTGCTTCTCGAACTCTTCTACCTTCGGCAGCCCTTCTGTCTCCTTTTGACTCCGTTTATTTGTCTCTTTGTATCTACCTCCCTCTGCACCTGTTAATTTGTCTCCCTTTGTCTCCGTTTGTTTGTTTGTTTGTCTTTGTTTGTTTTTGTTTGTCTTTGTTTGTTATTTTGGGTTGTCTCCTTTTTATTTTTTTGTCTCCTGTCTTTCCTTTTATCTTTTTTGTCTCCTTTTGTCTCCTTTCTCTCAGTTCTCTTCTCTATATTTTTTGAGTTTATCGTCTTCTGTCTCGTTTAATCTGCTTTTACCTCAACTGTCTCCTTTTGTCTTTGTCTGTCTCTGTCTCTGTCTCTGTTTGCTGCAGCGGGTCTGATATACGCAGGTGCTGCGGTGTATATTGTTGTTGACAGCTCTTCTCTCGTTTGGACTGCAGTCTGGGCTACTGTTATTCTTAAACGCAAACTCAGCCTTTCTCAGTGGCTAGCGGTCAGGCTTGAGGGTTTAGGGTTTAGGGTTTAGGGTTTAGGGTTTGGGGTTTAGGGTTTAGGGTGTAGGGTTTGAGAGATAGGGTTGAGGGTGTGCTGTTTAGGGTTTAGGGTTTAGGGTTTGGGTCATAAGGTTAAGGGTGCGCTGTGTAGAGCGTAGGGATTAGGGTTTTATGCTGAAGGTTTAGGGTTTCGGGATTGGGGTTTATTAGGGTTTAGGGTTTGGGTCTTAGGGTTAAGGGTTTGCTGTTTAGGGTTTAGGGTTTAGGGTTTGTTGTGTGTTGTGTGTGGATTTGATTTGGGGTGTATATGCAGATAGTAGTGGATATCGTTTGGGGTGTCTCTGAAGGCTTGGCAGTTAAATATAACTTTCTCTGACGAAGAATTTTTAGGGGTTTGTTTGATTTTGCTCGCCTCCGTCTTAATGGGTTTAACTTTTGTTTTAAACGAAAAGTTTATGAAGGGTGCAAAGCCGGTAGAGGGCCCCAACCTTGTCTGCATGATGGGGTGCGGAACTATAAACCCTAAACCCTAGCTAAACCCTAAACCCTAGCTAAACCCTACACCCTAGCTAAACCCTAAACCCTAGCTAAACCCTAAACCCTAGCTAAACCCTAAACCCTAGATAAACCCTAAACCCTAGCTAAACCCTAAACCCTAGCTAAATCCTAAACCCTAGCTAAACCCTAAACCCTAGCTAAACCCTAAACCCTAGCTAAACCCTAAACCCTAGATAAACCCTACACCCTAGCTAAGCCGGTGCACTATACATATATATATATATATATGTATATATATAAAGCTTCTTAGGGTTTAGGGTTTAGGGTTTAAGGTAGCTGTCTCGTGTATTCCGTGTGGCTGGGGCTAGAGCAGGTAGCTTTAGTTAGTGTGTTTCTGTTGCTGTTGCTGTCGGTGTTGTTGCTGCTTCATCCTCTGTTGTGTTCTGTGCTGCTGCTGCTGCTGCTGCTGCTGCAGGGTGTGCAGCAGCGTGGTGATAACTTTGTGGAGTCTTTTCTGGACGGTGCCGCAATTTGATCAAGAAGTGCTGCAGCCAATTCGCCTTAAGGGTGGCTCGTTGCATGTAGGGTTTAGGGTTTAGGGTTTAGGGTTTAGGGTTTAGGGTTTAGGGTTTAGGGTTTTGTCTGTGGGCGGCTAGCATGTTTCTTCCATGCAGAGATAAGCCCTTCTCGCTACCCGCAGCAAAACCCTCAGCGACACCGACATTCAC